ATAATAATAAACAAAAAATGTATTATAATTATTTAAAAATATCTAAATTTGCAAAATAATTGCGCTCAGAAAATAGATTGTACGGCATACGTTTACTTAAAATATTGAAAAAAAATGTCTATCGTGTATCTTGGTGCGTGAGATTTATCAGGCGATAATTCTGCAAGTTATTCGCCTGTAACATCGGAACTGTCGCCTCTAAATTCACAACATACGATTTAATATTTCGTGCCGCCTCGTATAATTCACGTTTATTCCTTCCAGCCGATCTTAGCGCAATAAGGAAAGCCGACAGTAACTGCACTGTTCTACTGTGGTATTTATAAAATTTGTACCGTGGTTACACCGCAGCTTCCATTTCTGGCGTTGATAATTGACCGCGAGAAAATGGCAAGATAACAAGAACTATGATGACGGATAGATTAAGTAAATGAACATATTCTCAGATCGTAATCAAGGTTCCGTTAAGTTTTCTCGAATCCAATCTCTCAAGAATCGAAAATTAGAATTTTCACGTTTTCCAGTATTTATCTGATATTGTCTGGTACCGTGGCATCAATTAAAAATCAAGTTACACGATAAACAATTAGCGTACCGACGCGTAAGATCGCACGATTAAATTAACGGTGTTGCATGGCGAGTGCGTAATTAAAAAAGTGACATGGGAATTTTATTATTTTCCGCCTGTTTTGTTTTCCTTCTAGATTGTATATTTGCAATTCTTGCAGTATTGTCTTATAATAAATGCTCATAATAATTACTAATATGGTTTTATATTTAAATAAAGTGTGTCGTGTGTGTGGAAAATAATATTTATAGCCGTGAATTCACATATTTAATCATGATGTTATTTTCACTTTGATGCTTACGCCTTTTGCTAACGGGAAAACAAGGATTGAGTTTCAATGACATGTACAAAAGAATAAGCGGGCAAAAAGCAGAGCATGTGAGATTGACAGATTGAAATACTGCGACCCTCGACACTGTCACGTGGTCCAGATTGATAACTCGAGCAAACTTATTAGCCGCTCCGACCTAAGCCTCGTAAGAAGATACATCCGCTGGCTGACTCATCAACTCGAGATACCTCGTTTACCCATAAGAAATGATCACTTTGATATCTAAGCTTCCATTAAAGCGTCACGATTATCTCTTTACTCACTTATTATTTGAATTTCCTCTATACATATACAGGGTGACCGCCTACTAAGTACATAGCATTATTCCTTACCAAAAACTGAGACGAAAAGTCCTGAGCCATTTTTTTTATAACGTTTAATAAAGGAGTCATTATTGAGTAAAGTTTTAACCAGGCGCACGTCAGTGAGCCGCGCGTCGTGAAGTGTGCACCGCCGCATACTACCAGGCGCGCGGCTTACCGACGTGCGCCCGGCTAAAGATCGGCGCTGGTTGGCCAGACTTTACTCAATAATAACTCCTTTATTAAGCGTTATAAAAACAATTAAATATACAGGGTGTCCCTAATTTAAATGTCAAAACTTTAGGAGCGTGTAGGGGACCGATAAACTAAGACAAAAAGTCCTTTAGAGATTTGCTCGTTTTTGCTTCGTTTTGAAGAAAATTGCAAAAAATGAAACAAATAATTTTCATTAAAAAACTTAAAACAACACTAAAATTATTAGATTTATCAAAAAGTATTATGAAATAAAAATTGTAGAACATGGAATTCAAAAAAGAGAATGAGTTAAAATCCTCCTGAGGTAAAATTAGATTAGAAACAAAATTTTGCGTTGTCGCGTATTTATCTACAATCCTCTAATTTTACCTCAGGAAAATTTTAACTCACTCTCTTTTCTTAATTCCATGTTCTACAATTTTTATTTTATAATACTTTTTGATAAATCTAATAATTTTAGTGTTGTTTTAAGTTTTTTGGTGAAAATTATTTGTTTCATTTTTTGCGTTTTTCTTCAAAACGAAGCAAAAACGAGCAAATCTCTAAAGGACTTTTTGTCTTAGTTTATCGGTCCCCTACACGCTCCTAAAGTTTTGACATTTAAATTGGGGATACCCTGTATAATATAAAGTTATCTTAATCACATATCTTTGTTAAAACCTGTTTTTTAAACGATTTATAATTCACAATAAAATTCAAGACAGATTTCTATTTATAATTTTATATATATATAATTTCAA